TTACTTAATATAACCATTATCTACCTGCTGTTCCCTTTCAATACAGGGTGCCTTTATATTCCAAATGCTTTCAATGTTTTTTCCCCACCTAAGTTTTCATTTCAAAGAATATACTTTGAAAGTTTGGAGAAGGAAAAAAAAAAGAAGAGGAGAATAACCAAGCCACTTTCTCCCCTAATCAGTATATAATATTGCAGAAGAGTTTTCCTGTGTTGAAATTAACATGCTTTTATAATGAGTAACATTTTAATGACAGGGTATTCAATAAATTCAGAGTAAAATTAATAGAATCTGCTAGGCAGAGAACTAAAATTAGGACTTAGTTACCTCCTAAAGTCTCATTTCTATAACCAGAAAGCCTGCTGATTTATCAATTCCAACAGTTATACTGGGATTTACCTTTTAGTTAATTCCAATTTTATGTTAAAAACCCATTTTATTGCAAAAAAAATTAGCTCATATCTCATGGCTCATGAACTTCTAGGACAGGAGCAAGAGAAGTTCCTGTTATAGACAGAAAATAGACCACATTAGTTAAATGTACTTTGTTTAATTCATTCACTGAGAAACCTGCAATGGCAAAAATTCCCAAAGGATGCTGTTCTTACTAACCTGGGGAAACAACTTTGTGTGCTTTATCTTTTTTCCATCCAAATTGGTTTATCAAAATGAAATTTTTAAAATTATCCAACAGAAGGTACATAATTTAAAACATCCTAGAAAAATGACATGTTACGAGTGATGTAAAGTTTAAAAAAACTCAGCCACAAAAAAAGTCAAAGCTAAACAAGATTTTTACTATGAATCAGTGCTTCTATTACCCTTCGGAAAGAAGTTATATTTTAATGTGATGTAAAGGCAAAATCGAAAGTTTTTCTTTAAATTAACCACCTAATTTGTCCCTAAAATTACAAAGAATCAAAGTCTTTTACAGGTCAAGTGCAGTAAACTACAATGTCCTTTCAGCACAAAGCAGCACTAGAAAGTTATAGATGGGAATTGACTAGTTTTGCAGTGGCTGCTCCATCAGTAACAGACAGACATCAGACGGTATCCATCCAGAGTACAGACACAACTAGACTAGATGCGAAGAAAGCGTCACACACTTGGCTGATAAATGTCCTTGTCTTTGTATCTTTCTTTCTACTTTGAATGAAGTGGATTTTTTAAAGTTTAAATCAGATCACATAAGTTGGCTGCTTAAATAACATGATGAGGTATGAAAGCTCTGAATATCCCTAATGTTCAGCAGGATTTACCAGAGATGTAGAATAGCCTGTCAGGGGAACTCCCAAATAGTTACATTTTGGGGTTATAATGAATTCTAGAAGAGGACAAGATTAAAGAGGTTTGAAAGGGTAGTCTCTGAAATGGAAGTGAGAGACTTTTCCTTCAGAAATCATTTTGAGCAGTGAAACAAAAAAATCTGATAGTGTGTCCAAACATTGAGTCAAGATGGCCATCTAGCACCAAGAAGTCGTATTGAACTCAGTTGCAGTTCTCTTGGCAATTAAGCTTATTTTTTTCATTCCAGTCCAAGCACAAATGTGGGTCACTGAAGACAGTACTGGAAGTGGCAGTTGCAGGTACATTGCAGTTATCATTAAATGAGCCAGAAGGTAGAAAACCTTTTTTATTTTATGGGGGGACTTGACTGGGCAGTACTAATAGGAGATGAAATGACTAGGGAAAAATGAGGTCATTAAAAAAAAAAAAAAGATCACTGCCCTTATTTGCGTTGAACAAGTTATGTTGAGAAGGTGGTTATTTAAGATAAGGATGCTACATTGAAGGGATGATATAATGCAGCACAAATACATTAGAATCAAGCTGCACCTAAGAAAAAAATTCCCTAAGTTACCTTTAAAAAAAAGTATGTGTTACCTGCCAGTCACAGAGGGGAAAAGCACCTAGGGTGAACTCCCAATTTAATGAGGACCTTCATCAGGACCACAAAGCCTGAAACATTTGTTTTAATGCAGAAATACAGTCTCTAGTCACACTGGTTGAGTTTGGGAAAACTGGAGGGATATTTTTTTTTTTTTACTTTTTTATTGAATGATAGGATATTGTTTCAATTACTAAGGATTCTAAATCTTCATACCAGCATTAGAATTGAACCACTTCCAAATCCTAAGACACGTAAGACCAAAGAGAAGCAACAGCCATACAAATTAATATGTGGCCCTCTCCTTTCTGCTCTAAGGGAATCTTCAAACCAGTATCACATTTAAGAGTCAAAGTGTTAAATTCTTCAGCATTCCTGACAACTAGAAAGCACATTCACTGAAGGCTGAAGGTGAGGGAGCGGATGGTTTAACTTTAATATCTGTGAAGAATGGCGCCAATAGAGGAAAGAAAACCATCCAGTCTCAGTAAGGATTAATGCAAATTTGGCTAGAAAAGCCACCAGGTAATCCAAGGGTTCACTGTGGAAGAACTCATGAAAAGTACTCTGAAGTGTACACAACAGGTCTAAACATCTCCCTTGTTGCAAGTAGTTGTGTGAAATTCAAGATAAAGATTTAGTCTCATCTTTTAATATCAGTGTTTTTCCCCGCTTTAAAGGGAATGAGGAGGAGTCCTCTTTTCCCCCACAAAGAAAGAGAGCCACATTAATATGTGTATATTCCCATGACTCTTATAATATATAAGTGCAGATCTCCAAAGCCTAGGGATTTTCCATAAGAGAGTGGGCCGTTCTGGTTACCCTTTTTATTAGAAGGGTATTCCACCACAGAGAGCCAGAGGTTTTCCAGATGTGTGTAAGAGAGCAGGTGCGCAAGGCAAGCAAATGAGCGCAAACAGTATTATGGAAAACGTTTGAGAAGTTAGCTCCATGAGGACTGTGGGCTCCACAAGAGGACTTGACTGGGTAGTCTGACACAGGAACATGAAAGCAGAGTATTGCTTCAAAGCTGGAAACCTTCCATAGGAGCCTCACACTGCTGGAAGATGTACTGCTGCTGGCTAAGGTCAACCTGGGGTGCAATGCTGCTGTCCTCATCCTCAGTCCCGAAGTAATGCTCGATAAGATCAAAGGCCTTCTGGTATATCTCCTGGTTTTCATGACTCTGTAAGAACTCAATTTTATCCAGACCTAGAATGAAGAATAAAGAAAAATCTCTCTGTGTGTCTATGAATACATATATGTTCTTTGTATATATCTGTTGAAAATCCCAATGAAACTGTATATTGCCAAGTCTCCTTTCTTACTTTAAAGATTTTCTTTTCTACCTCATTAGTATTTTGTAACAGCATATAATGTATCACTGGGATTACATCTGAATGCTAGTATTGCAAACGGACACCTTAAACACATATGCAAGCAACAACCAGTCCCCAGAGGCAGCAATTTTCCTAGCAGTCACCACATCATCCAGTGGCTAGGGTCTGTAGCAAAAGTGTTCCAATTGGACTGTAACTATGACCTAATTACTTAGCTCTGATTCTAAGTTCTGAGCTATCCAATATGTCAACAAATGTATAATACCCTTAAAATAACCAGAATCCATTTCTACTGCTTAAACTAAGAAGTCCAACTAGAACAATTAGCCAACACATTGTCTTAAGTTCAAGCCCATCTGAGCTAAGCTTTCTTTTACTTGCAGCCATAAGCAACGTAACTACTATAGCAATACTGGAAATAAAAGTTAACACTGCTCAAAGGAAAAAAAATACATATTCATATACATATATATTCATATACATGTTAAAATATATATACATCAAAAAACTAACAACAGTTATCTCCTTGGAGAAAGATCTCCAGGTAGAGAAAAAAAATTTTTTTAATACATTTCAAAATGTCTTACACTAAGCAGGTATAGCTTTTATAAGCAGCTTTTTTTATGGTAAATTATTAAAAATCATTTTGAAAACAATTGTGTATTATTTGATAAACCCGAAGATGAACATAACCTGTGATCACTAATTCCAGTCTTAGCAATAAGCAAACCTTGTAGTAGTGGTTTTCAATCCCAGCTTTGCATTAAAATCACTTAAGGAACTAAAAGGTTAATGTACACTGGTAAACCAATGATTAATAGTTAAGCCTGAAAGACTGGAAGAATGAAGAAACCAAAAAGCAAATTGTGATTCCTTCAGATGAAACCCTTAGGAAGCTTTAGAGTCACAAACACTTGAACACAGAAATTGAGAGATGCAATTCAAAATTAGAACTGTAAATCTAACAAAAAAAAAAGGAATAGAGTCAGGCTTCATCTACAGTAGATATGGATGTTCTTGAAGGTTCAGATGGACCAGTAAGAACTACCCACAAGGGCAAGCAGAGTCCAGGACCTGGGAAGATCTTTAGAACCCAGTGTCAAAATGGCTAATTGAAGGGTACTCACTTCTCTTCATATTTAATGCGTATTTTCCAATTCTACAGACTAACCATTATTATTCATAAGAGAACAAATTTTTCATAGGAGTCTGCTGTCACGGACAGATGTGGACAAGCCAGAAAAGCAATAAGAAAAACAGTATTATTTCAGGACATCTATTAAACACTCTATCTTACCATATGCTTCTTCAATCAAAGCACAGTAAGGGTTAATGCCAGTGTCATTCCTTTTGGCTTCTTGTTCTCCGAGCCTCAGGATATTTTCCAGGCCATTTAGTGCAACCTGTACAATCTTAGAGTCCATGACTGTGAGAAGATCACAAAGTGGTTTGATACAACCGAGTTCTACAAGGTACCTAAATTAATACAAAGAACAATTTGGTCAAACAAGGCTTTCAATTTCATAAAACTTTCATGAATTAAGTGGGTCGTTCTCAACTGTAGAAATAGAAACAGGCATCCAATCAACCACCGCAAGCTACACTTTATCACACACAAAAAAAGTACAAATAAATGAAAACTAGTTCTCTAGCACCATCTCCATTCTTTTCCCCTCCACAATTATTGGGCTCCAAGAAACTGGAATACTCTCTTACTTTGAATAAGAGCAACTTGTCAAAACTGTATCCTTTTGTTTTGTTCCTATAGATAACCACACCTCTGAAACAGGTGCTAAAGCCACCATGGGCTCACCAGGCCAGTTCTATTCTGTACAAAGAACCCCTGAAACTCCAAGAAGATGAATAATTCAATTTAAAAACCAGCAAACGACCAGAACATACGTCTCACCAAAGATACTCTTGATGGCAAGTAAGATATGAAAAGATGCTCAGTATCATTATGTCATTAGAGGACTACAAATTAAAACAATGATGCCACACCTATTAAAATGATTAAAATCCAAAATACTTGACAGTACCAAATGCTAATAAGAATATGGGGCAAAAGGAACTCATGTTTTTTTTTGTTTTTTGTTTTTTTTTTTAAATATTTTATTTATTTCTAGCAGAGAGAGAGATACAGCGTGAGCAGGGGAGGGTCAGAGAGAGGGAGTCACAGACTGAAACAGGCTCCAGGCTCTGAGCTGGCAGTCAGCACAGAGCCCGACGCGGGGCTCGAACCCACGAACCGCGAGATCATGACCTAAGCGAAAGTCGGACGCTCAACCGACTAAGCCACCCAGGCGCCCCAAGGAACTCATGTTTTTTGCTTGTGGAAATGCAACATAGGATAATCACTTTGGAAGACAGCTAGGGGTTTTTTTTTTACAAAGCTTCCCATACAATCCAGCAATCATACTCTGGACATTCACCCAACTCGGATGAAAACTTAGGTCCACACAAAAACCTGTAAACAAATGTTTACAGCAGTTTTGTTCGCAACTGCCAAAACCTAGAAGCAACCAAGATATTCTTCAATAGGCGAATGGATAAATAAACCGTAGTGTATCCGGACATGGAATATTATTCAGTCATAAAAAGAACCTATCAAGCCACGAAAAGACATGAAGGAGACTTAGATGTGCTAAGGGAAAGAAGCCAGTCTGAAAAGACTCCACACTATAGGATTCCAAACATGACATTCTGGAAAAGACAAAACTTTTACAAAGACAATAAAAAGTATAGTGGTTGCCAAAGATTTGAGGGGTGGGGGTATAGGAACAGTGATGAACAGGTGAAGCAGAGGGGATTTTTAGGGCAGTGTGACTCTATGACACAACAGTAGTAGAAACAGGACATGCATTCACCAAAACCTATAGAACTGTACAACACAAAAAGTGATTCTTAATATCAACTATGAACTTTAGTTCATAATATATTGGTACTGGTTCATTAACAAACATAGTCCCACTAAATATGAGAGGTTAACAGAAGACACTACAGGGAATGAAGTATATAAGAACTATGTATGTACTATCATCTCAACTCTCCTATAAAAACAAAATGTTCTTCTAAAAAGTTTTTAATTTTTTAAGTAGGTTCATATCGTATTTAGCGTTATTATTTACTCAGGAATGAATTTAATAGTATTACGTCTAACTTTATTTAAATGTTTACTGACAAAGGCTATATATCTTATTAACAGAAATCAAGCTTAAAGCCATTTCTACCATTTCTCCTTTCCTTTACACCATAGTTTTGAGTCACCAAAACCTGTCAACCATTCCCTGAACCTATCTGTATCATTCTCATTGTTTTTCTTATAAAACAAAAACCAAGTTTTTGTGGAAAACATAGAAAAGCATAAAGAAAAAGTACAAAGAGATTAATCACCACTATTATATACTACTGCTTCCACTGTGTCCTAATTTTTATGAAGGGGCACCTATCTACTGTTTTCCCCAGTTATCTTTAACTCTTCCCTTTCCTTGCTACTTAGAGCCTGCCAACAAGTGCTACAGATCCTTCTTTCCGATATCAAGATCCATAATTCCTGCTGTAAGTATTATCTTAATCCTGGCCATCACTGTACGCTATGTTAATTAAGATGTTAAGAGCATCTTAATTACTCTTTTCTCTGCTCAAAATACTATGTTCTTCATATTACTCTTAAGACTAAAGACACTCAGATGACAGTAAGCCCCAATCCCAGTTTCCAAAGCCCATCAATTCCTCATCCTGCAAAAGAATAACCTATGGCAATATTGATTTGCCTCTTCCAATAACATTATCTATACACGTTCTCTCATTTCCCCTGCCATCTTCTCTCCTCCAAATAACCAAGTATCTACCCAAATAGCAAGTTTCTTCTCTTTCATTAAACTTTAAGTCAAAGCCATACCCTTGATTCTTCATTCTTAAGAACCAAGGTATGTTTAGCATTTCATTATATCTAACCTAAAATTATGGATATTTCCAAGTTACTCTAATTGGTTCTTGCATCTAAATCTTGTCTACTCAACAAGAGTAAGCAAAAACCACCCAGATGTCTTTTATTAGTTTATTTTCTGTAATTTGGACTATAATATTTTTGTAATAATTTTTTAAGATAACTCTTCATTTAAGAAGCAACTGCTAGGAGATTGATAATAAACTTCATTAATATTAAATACCTATACTGAATTTTAAAAAGGAATAGTAGCCTTTCTACTCTTCACTAACAGCTAAATAACTCTGAATACTTCCTAATGAAATATACCACAGTATTTTAGAAATTAAAAAAAAATTTTTTTTAATATTTGAGAGACAGAGCAAAAGCAGGGGAGGGGCAGAAAGAGAGGGAGTCACAGAATCTGAATGAAGCAGATTCCAGGCTCTGGGCTAGAGCCAGACGTGGGGCTCAAACCCATGAACTGTGAGATCATGACTTGAGCCAAAGTCAGATGCTTAACCGACTGAGGCACTCAGGCGTCCCTAGAAATGTTTTAGAAATATGTGTACAGTTTAACAATTTCAAATAAGAAAGCATCTATCTTCTACGTTACTTACTACTGCCATTACTGGGATAAATGCCATTACCGGTGGTGGCATATTTATAATAATAGTATCCCAAAAACAGAATCTTAGGAGGTTGAAAAAGACCTAATCTCATACAAAATGCTTCTTTTTTTTTCTTTAAAATTTTTTTTTTATGTTTTATTTATTTCTAGGAGAGAGAGAGACAGCGTGAGCAGGGGAGGGTCAGAGAGAGAGGGAGTCACAGACCGAAAGAGGCTCCAGGCTCTGAGCTGGCAGTCAGCACAGAGCCCGACGCGGGGCTCGAACCCACGAACCGCGAGATCATGACCCAAGCGAAAGTCGGATGCTTAACCGACTAAGCCACCCAGGCGCCAATCTCATACAAAATGCTTCTGAAGACCACTTGAAATCTTCCTGAAAACTTGTCCATGATGGACTTTACCAAAATCACTATTTACAAATAGCTATTAATGGATTTAATTAAGATGAAATGTGTTAATCTAATTAAATACTATTTCAGGTACAGAGTTATCCTCTGTATCTAATCAATTCCTGAAATGTTAGGACTACTTTACCTTTTACATTTTAAAATTCCTAACAGAGCACTAAAAATTATAGTTAAGTGCCAACATTTAACCCACAAAGCAACAATATAAGAAGTAGTTGTATTTTTCTGATATTATATGAGGAAGGGATTAGTACTTCAACACTCATTTGAAATCATCTTCCCCCCATAAAGAAAGTTACAGCAGACTAAGAAGAGTCTAGGTTCCATTTTCCCCTTCATCATTAATCTTTTATCTATCCGAAATACTAAATGTCCGTAAGTTAGCATTTAATTATATGATGTTCCTCTGAGGAATTGATTCCTGTCCATATTTATGCCTTCTCTAACCATTAAGATTATAAGCCACCCAAGGAGCATTTAAGTCTCAGGCTAATACAGATCTCTCTTTATTGAATACTACAGGACTTCAGGAGACACTTGCCTCTACTGAATTTGGCACTTTATTCTAAAAGAGATTTCTCTTTCAAGTCTGATCCCGTTCTATTAAGACATCTGAACTAAAAATGGCAAGATTAGAGGTGCCTGGGTGTCTCAGTCGGTTAAGTGTCAGACTTTGGCTCGGGTCATGATTTCATGGTTCACGAGTTCAAGCCCCAAAATGGGCTCTGTGCTGACAGCTCAAGAGCCTGGAGCCTGATTCCAATTCTGTGTTTCCCTCTCTGCCCCTCCCAGGCTCACACTCTGTGTGTGTCTCTCTCTCAGAAATAAATTTTAAAAAACATTTTTAAAAAATGGCAAGAATTAGATACCAAGGTTGGATCCTTAAGGTTTCTACAAATAACCTTCTAAATTACCTGTTTCTGACCAAAAAGCTCCGGAGTAGACTAAAGTTACCCTATAAATACTTCTATTGTCTCAAACCTCAACCATGCCTTACATCTTTTATCCTGGAATTATTTCAACAGGAGGGAGTGGGAGAAGAATTAAATATACATGACTCTAGTTATTAAACTTAGAACAGTATTCCAAGAGATTAGAATTGAGCATTCATCACTGGTAGGTATAATCATTTTTCCTTTAACTTACAAGATGCTACTTGGCTAGTACTTACTTGATCTGTTCAGCTGATCCTCCAGAAGTTGCATTTGTGATGGCCCAAGCTGCTTCTTTCCTTGTCCGAAACTCAGCAGTTTGTAATATACTAATGAGGGCTGGGAAAATGTTGGCATCTATCACAGTCTGAAATTTAAAAATTAAATCAAAAAGGGAAATTACAAAATTTGTAAAAATGTTCATGGTACTAATTATAACTTTTTAGCTGGCTTCAGTAATGACACTGAAATTAGCTGGAAGAAGTCCCTTACCCCTGTGACCTTTCAAATGTACTCGGTACACTGATAACAGTCTCCCTGGAGTCTGCGTTCTTATAATCTAGAGTTCTTTTCTCTTTGTCCTCTCTCATTCCACCCACAGTAACAAAGTACAGAAGTTCAATTTTCTGTTCCTCTGCTAGTCTCCTTTTGTTCAGAGCATCCAACTTGTGATGTAACCCTCCAGTCCTCACTTTTGGTGCCCTAGCCCTAAATGGCCAACAGCTTGCTTTAGATCTGCTAATCACTTCAAACATATCATCCACCCTCTACATCAGGTCTCCTCTCAAACCTCTCTTTTTGTATTTACAAAGGCTCTTTTTTGTATTTGTATTTATTTATTCTAAATTTCATCAGTCACTAAGTCTCCTCTACATTCTCAATTTAAAACCCTGAGCCACCTTTTTCCTTCCTTTTTACCATAGCCACAATCCAATTCCAATTTACCAACTCCCAGATTATTTACCAGTACAGCCTATAATAAGGCAGAGTACTTTTACTCACCCCATCTCATATACACACGCTAAAATCGTCTGCTTCAAATTACTTTCTTCATGTTTCTCCTTAGCTCAAGAACCTAAAATTGGTTCACATCATTTCCTCTATCAAGAAACTGAGGAATTCTACATAAGAGCCTAACAGTAGGAGGTAATCAACTATTGCTGAAATCCCTTTGTATGCTATGGTATGAACTGCAGTCGCTATCAGTGTCAGTCCCTGGCAGCATTCTGGGGATGACTAACCATGCTTTCCTGATCAAGAACTCTTATTACACTAGTGAAAAAAGTCAGCAAAGTTTAGTGGAAAGACACTTCATCTTGATCTGTCATTTACTAGGGGTTCCCCTGAATGAATCATTTTTCAGTTTCATCCTTAAATAAATAAGCATATTGGATGAGATAACCTCTATGATTCTCCTCAGCTCAAAGACCCATAGGTCTATGTTTTATCTTTTACAACCAGTTGTTCAGCCTTTTTCATGACCTATGCTGAAGCCTTTGGCCCACTGCTTATCTTCTGTGGGGGGTTACTCTCCCACCTAACAGAAGAACAAAATTAAAGGATAACCTTTAGAGAAAAATGGGTCCCCAAAGGTTTTATGAAAAACTGAAGTTATCCAATAGATGAGGTCCACTAGAAAAAAATATTTTACTTGGCAAGAGTAAAGCCAATCTATTTTGTATAAAGACCATTAGAACATTTCAAAAATACAAGACACTCTCTCAGGTCTTGACACAACATCAAATACTAAAGGTACAGGGAAAAACCAAGGCCAAAGTAGAAGTTTCAAAAATCTGTAAGATAGGATAAAAAAATGCGTAAACTAAACAAAACAAAAATCTTGGAAATTAATGGTCTGCAAGGCAATAATGGAAAAAAGAAATGTAAGGCCAACTGAAAAAAACCTAAACCTTATCAATAAAAATAGAAGAAAGAAGACAGATGCTATGGGATTACCTGGATCTGTGCTCTATTCCCAGCTGTGATATTAGATATTGTCCAACATGCTTCCTTTTTGATAGATTCCTTTGGGCTACTCAGCAAATGCAATAAACTCTGCAGAGCTGAGCAATTCAAAATGACCTAAAAGGAAAAGTTTGAAACTTATTCTGGATTGATCCAAAGAGAAGTAAATCTTTAACTCATTTATTTTAGGAACAATATAGGCAAAGATATAATGTCTCCCCTTGAAATTTTAAAAATAACTTTATATGTAAAAAAGTATTCACTGTCAACAAGAATTCATTTCTAAGACTACCAAAGCAGTTCTGCTATATACATTACAACTGAACAACTGCTACTTCATAAGGTACAATAATGTATTAGTCCTTCATCTTCCCATCCCTACAGCATAATAAGTCTTTTGGATGGGTAAATATATGAAGTGGCCAGAAATTCAGGCCTCAGATTTTTACATCTCCTGATAACACTCTACCTGGTCGACAATGAACAAATACATAATGAAGTACACTAGGTGCGTTAGAAGACACAAAGATGAAAAAGGATAGGTCCCTGGCTATCATGCAGCTTACAAAGGTGAGAAAGAGTAAGACAAACACACATAAAGGAAATCTACCCTACCAAAACTAATATTATGAAGTTACAATGATTGAAATATTATGTGGTGAGCTCAAGAATCAATCACTGAACAAGAGAACAGA